GGCGGATTGGCAGTGGGCGGAGCAAACAGCGACCCACGCAGAAGGGATGTCTTGGCTTCTGACTATCAAACAGGGGAGACAAAGATCAAGGTGGTTCCAAAAACTATTAGCTCGTACTGAACATTCATTTTGTTGAACTCCTCTGTTACAAGCAAAAGTTTATCGTTTAGGGGGTCTAAAATTTACATTTTTTTAAAAGTTAAAATCAGTTCACTATCCTAATTAAAATAAATGTTGTTGAATATTTTGTCTTTTATCTTTCTAATGTTAATAACAAAACAATGCATTAAATTGCGAATTTGCATATTTTTGTATTATAAATGTTTCACTCAGATTTATCAATTCATTTAAGTTCTTAGGTTTGTGGTATATTTTTTACAGTATTCAAAAGTAAACTGATTTATTCTCCACAATATAGAGAATGTAGAGAATGTTCAATTTGGAACCGAAATGTACATAAAATTTCATCGTCTTATTTTCAGCAGCGCTTAAGCTAATTATTCTGTGCATGCGTACTTGTGTGTCTGTAAAGGATATGGCCATGGAAATTATTTCATTCTGATATTACTTGCTTTGAGGCTACGTAATAATCCGAAACAAATTCAGAAAGGTTTGAACTTTTAAAATGGTGCTTGTCTACGTTAACACTTTGACAAAATTAGTCAAAATAACGACCTAATGGTTATGACGAAATTGAACAACAACTTTCTGCTTTTCCTGGCGTATATTCTCATGTACTGGAACGAAAATTTATTGAAGTGGATTCAATATAAATAATATTTCTTACTGATAGAGCATTTATACTGAAAGTGACCGTATGAATTGAAATATTCAAAATGTTCAAATTTGAAAAAGCATTCAACAGTTCGTACAGAATAAATGTAAAGAAAATATCATGATATATTCCAAACTCTTTTATGATAGTTTTATAGAATCTGTTACTTGGTAAATGCTACATTTCCACTAGATGTTCGGAGTACGCTCGTTAATTAACATATTCTAAATCAAGTGGTGCCGCAATCATAAGAGTTGCAGACATTTCTAAACACCTGACTCAAATCCAAACAACTACTTTTACGCCTGCCTTCTAGATTTCTCTCTAGTAACCTCTAGTAACTGGCCCATGGGCCGCAAAATAAGTACCACATGGCCGCCACCAAACCTCCCTAAAAGTAACAAGGTTCAAACGTCGCCAAGGGCTTTCGCGCTACCAGCTACACGAAACAGTTGTCGTCCGCCATGGGCGTACGAGTCACGGCTTTGTAGGATTGGACGCTAGACTCAAAATTCGCCTGGTTGTAAAATTTCAATGAAATTATGTAACTGAGCGCAAGAAACGTCAGCTAAGAACGGAGAAGTTAAAGCAGACACGTTATGTCCGTCGTCTCCCCTTTCGAAGAGGTGAACGCAGCGAGGTCAAGTTTCGAATAGTGCCGCCGCCGCCGCCTGCCTACGAAGTTGGCATTTTCGCCCCTCGCCCAGACCTCGCTGTCCAGCCACGCCCGCGCAGAATATCGACCACAGCGCGCGCGGTGCGTTGCTAACGAGTTGCCTGGAGACGCGCAGCACAGGAAGGCTCCAAAGACATGACAACGCGAGAAGAGAGACTTACGTTTAATACTCAAATAAACTTTAAATATGGTGGTTGTATTTGTCCGTAATGATCTATTAAGTCAAACGGAGACATTCTTTACGAAAAAGTATTAAAATATAATTTGTAGTATAATGAAGCTTTATTATAATATACAATTTATATTTCAATATACTAAATTAAAATTGGTTTATTGAGAACATTATATGTCAAATTCGATCGTGGACCTTGCATTTTATGGTATAGTCTTCCTAAAAGTCGAAAGAAAAATAATTACTTCATTAAAATGTTCGAGAAATGAAATTTAAGAAACTAATTGATTTATGATAAAGATTATTTTACGGAATACGTTACACAAAATAATTAAAATATCTTAAAATATCAGATGTTGAAAATATTTTCTTTTAACTCCAGGTACTCAAAAAATATTTCTATTTACGAGTATTTGCAGAAAAACTTTCACTCTTGCGACGAATACCCCACTACCTACATCTTCGACAACGAAACTAATAGCCATCGACCCCGTCCCTCTGTTGATTCCACTTCGTGTCTCTCTTCTACTGAGAACGTAAACAGGGCGTCCCCCTACCAACGCTACGATTTACGAATATGAGCAAGAGATGGGGGCAGTTTCTGCTCATCGCAACCCGCGGGTTCAAGCAGCCGTGCTCACATACGTCTCTGCCGTCGCTCCTACCTCGCCCTAACTTCCGCCCAGCCTCCGCTCTCGCCTTTATCTTCGCCGCCCCCGCCACCAACTTCGCCCCTCCTAACTCCACCTCCGCCTCTCCTCCTTCCATATGCTCAACAACAGCATTGAGCCTTCGCCCATACCCGCCCAGGCCCAGCGTCCTTCACCTCCGCTCACGCGCCAACTCACCCTTCGGCCACGCACTCGCAATCGCCTCCACCGCCCCGCCCCCTTCCGCCGCCGGCGTCGTGCCCGCGAACTGGCTGCCGCTCGCGAGACCAGCGAGCGTCTATTTACGAGAGCCGTATCCGCGTGATGGAAGCGAGGATGTAAGGCCGCCGCGTACACGGTGGCGCAGGTGAGGACACCATTAATTACCGCAGTAAATATCCCAGCCCGAGTTATTCATTACGCAGTACAACGCTCTCGCGACACGGCGTCCGGAGTGCAAGGGGAGGGGGGGGGCAGAGGTGGAAGCGGCGGTGAGTGTTTCCAG